AAAAGAGAAAGAGTCAAAGGGGAAGGGGAGGCTTGCCGGAGGGGAAGTGGTGGCCCAAATCTTGCCATGAGAAAGCGAAGGGAGAGAGACAAGGAGGAGAAGTTTACTCTTAAAAGAAATATCTTAAAAAGAAATATCCTAAAAAAATATAATTAATATAAACACAAAAATAAGGGTAAAAATATTAAAATACCCCCTTATTTAACTGGGTTAACGATATTTTTTATTATTTTGTGAGAGGAAGGAACACAATGAGTGCAAAAATGCATAGTAGGGGTATCGTCATTGTATTTATGTTGATTTTTGGATCATTGTGGTAGAAAGTGTAAACCATAGAGACCAAATCGCAATTTACTCTAAAATTAAGTCACATATTTATTATATTTAATAATATAAGATTGAATACAAAAATATTTAATATTAGGCTTATTTTGAACGTATTGACAAAACAATTATAATGATGTACTTTGTAAAAAAAACATATTTTTATGTATTGTAATTAATATAAGATCATGTATATTAATATAATAACAATGTAAAATAAAAAATGAAAACTATAAAGATATAAAGTAAGTTAAATAACTAATTATAAATGTGTAAAGTATAAAAATAATTAACAATAAAAATATAAGAGTTTGCGCAGAAAACAAAATTATGCGTGGAGTTTTTCTTTGGGAAAAGTCTAAAAAACTCAATAGACTTTAGTGTTTGAAATAATTAAGTCATTGGACAATTTTTTATAACAAATAAATCATTGGACATTCTAAAACCTGTTAAACAACTTCTTGGACTTTCTAAAACCTATTATATACATCCTTATTACCTATAAAAAAGTCTAAAAAAAAACCCTATGGACTTTAGTGTTTGAAATAATTAAGTCATTGGACAATTTTTTGGAACAAATAAATTTTTGGACATTCCAAAACATGTTAAATAACTTCTTCGACTTTCTAAAACCTGGTAGATACATTCTTATGACCTATACAACTGGTTAATATGGTAAAATAATGGAAAAAGTCCAAAAAAAACCCAATGGACATTCATATTTTGAATGATTAAGTCCTTAAACATTTTTTGAACCAAAAAGTATTTAGACCTACAAAATTAAACAAATATAACAAAAAAATACTTACATTTACAAAAAAAATTACATTTAAAAAATATTTTTGATATAATTTATTTGAATTAAAACTAAAATATATTCTGTTAGTGATTTTTCAAACTAAAAAAATTTGAAAAGAATTATT